TACTCAAAACAACAAATCTGAAAATGCTAGCTAATATCAAATACTTAATATAAAAATTTTGTCATTAATGGTTGAAATTTCACTAAAATTTTATAAAAACATTATTCATAACTATTCATCAAATTTATCTAAAAGAAAATCTAATAATATTAACTAATATCTAATGAACTAATCAATAATAATATTGAATGGTTTAAATTTCAAAAAAAAAATATACATAAAATATATAAAAAATAATAATACTAATTAAATTTTACTTACCACTGCTTGATCCACTAGACTGCAAGAAGAAAAATGTGTTAAAGTGCTTCAAAGGGAAGAATGGAGAAAAGGGAGCAAGAACAACTCGTGGAACAAGAGGAAAATGAAAATGAAAGGAGAAAGACCAAAATGAAAGCATAAGGGCGGATCGGCAGGGCAATAGGGAAACTTACCGACGAAACCCACATTGCTACAGTCTAAAGCTGATCATCTCTGCATTACATCAAGATTCTTGTTAACTGGGCCAATCACCGACAAACATGAAGTTGGCAATGCATATATTATCGACCTATATCTTATCGGTAAGGAAAATAAAAGCTGCAACACCAGTGGCCAACAGCCAGATTCGCGGGGAGTTGCCAAATGGCAAATTACCAACAAGCATTATGTCAGAAAATTTCATCAAAAAGCTACACTCCCTGACGCAGGCAGCCAGCTGGTTGGCGAGGGTGCATTAGGAGTGGAAATTACCAAGAAAATGAACATTGGAAATTAATCCTCAATTACCGACGAGACTATTGTTCCAAAATTAAATTTACAGGCGTGCTTCTTGTCGGTGATGTGCCTTTCCGTCCTCCCCCCACTAGCCGGAGTGGTGGCTGCAATTACCGGCAAGTAACACGTATGTATGACCTTAAATTACCGACAAGTGTTACGTCTGTACAATAAATAATATATGTTACTGGCATTTCTACTGTTTCTCATGTTGCAGACTTAATTCTTGTCGGTAAAATGATGCTTCACCGAGAAAACTTCTTACCTCAGTGATATGTGGTCAGTGAAGCTAGGTTTTCTTGTAGTGACCGAAATAACTCACAGCCTATTTATACCTCAACTCAGACTATTTCCATCACTTCTACAACTTCACTTTCATTTATTTCTTTCCTTCTCCGATTCTCTTCCAATATGTCTTTCTTCTCCAACTTCAACATTTTTCTTGATCTCTTATTTATTTAACTTTCAACAATTCTCTTTAAATGATCATAATTACTTCTTCATATCTTCATCTTTTTTTTTTCTTGTTCATCAATACTCTTATTTCTTTTCTTTGGTGTTTTATTTTCAAATTTCACTCATATTCTTCATATTGTTTCTTCAAAACTAATACTACCATCTCTCTTAATTTCAATTTGAATTATTTATTATATTAAATTCTCTTTATTCTATATAATCTTATGTTTTTGATATTTTAATTGTGCATTAATTATTCAAATTTTGATAATTTTCAAGATTCCTTAAGTTGGTAAACATGATGGGGTAGCATTTTAGATGTGATTTTATTACATTTTATTATATTATTCAATACTTGTCCTCAAATTTTTATTTTTTTTATATATTTA